ATATATTTAGATTTCTTTGGATTTTTTGACAAATATACATAACAAATCTTAAACTTAACTTAAATAATTTACATTTCCTGAATGCCACATTTGAAGATAGAGAAGACCATTTCACAGGCATTTCTATTAGCCTTGTGCGCATCATAACAACCATCAGCAATTTTTGATGTAAATCCTTTAAGTTCCTGTCCAATTTTGTCTGCATTTATTTGCCTTGTGGTAGAGTCGTAATACCCTAAATGCGACCAAATACATGCGACAAAACACTTAAACTCGTTGCGCTCGGGGAAATTCATAGTGAACAATGCATCGTAGAATACCTGTCGCTCCAAGCCACTTTCATTTAAACATTCATCCCTAAAAAGCGCCATCGTATGCTCCCACGATTGTATATACGAGAATTCTACATTGAATCGCTAAAACATAATTATCTTATATATACGAGCAACAGTTACTGATAGCTACTTACAAATGCAGTGCATGTATAAAACAACGCGAACACCACAATTAAAGACTTCATTGTTGTAAAAATCAGAGAACACAATCTAATTTGAGGTTGGTAAACCTTTTATAGGTATAAGCACGAGTCTTATCTGAATACTCCAATAATTATCGTTATCGATAACATTTTATGTGCCACGATTATAACTACCATATTAGGGTATAGGGCAGGGTATAGGGTGATTCTTTTAAAACGACCCGCCCCTAATAACTTGAGAACGGAATGTTTTCGCTAAACATAATTATATTTATAAGTATCGTGGGGGCGATTTCGATTTGTTCACTCCGATACGTTGATACATAATTTATATATCATTAGTAGTAATTAGTAAATGTAGATTAATTCTTCAGAGGTAACAAGGAATGCAATTTTTTACATAGGTAGATGAATAGTAATTTATACAAAATTGTAGGTATCTGGCGTGCGTGAAGGTAGCCAGTACACGATAGCCAGTACGCTCCAGTACATCAGTACTCTGTAGTACCATTTGAGTACTATCTTAAAACGACAGCAAAAATTTACTACCTATGAAGAACGTCGATATTTTTATGTACTGGCTGGCGGGATTTGGAAGCTAGCCAGTACACTGGATATCGATAACCCGCACATTAATATACAACGGTATACTATTTAGTACTCCTTGGGTACTGAATTCATACACAATCAGTTTCTTGGTACCTTTAAGCATTGCCTTGTACTGGCTACTGTCCAAATTCCGCTAGCCAGTACTCGATAAATTAATAACCAGGATATAAACAAACAGTAGTACTATTTAGTACTGCTTAAGGGTTGATTAAATGTAAAATCAGTTTTCTGATACCATTAGGATTACACTAGTACTGGCTACCTTCCAAATCTCGATAGCCAGTACAGTGGATATTGATGTACGGGACATAAATAAGCGATAGTACGATTTCGTACTTCCTATGTAGCAAATATATATCCAATCAACTGAGTGGTACTTTTAAGGATTACCTTGTACTGGTCACCGTCCATATGCCGATAGCCAGTACACGGGAAATTAATAACCAGGGCAGAAGCAAACAGCTGAAACAGCAGTACCATTTAGTACTGTTCATGACTGATTCAACGTGCGGTTCATTTTTTAGATACCTAGGATTACACTAGTACTGTCTACTTTCTAAATCCCGCTAGCCAGTACATGGAATATTTCTTGCCAGAAGAGATGTAGTGTTGTATGGGATTGGTGCTGTTATTAACAATTGGGTGTACGGTGTACAGTTTCTTTCCTTCATTTTCATACCTCTTACACTCAAAAAATAGGTATATGTTCTAAGCTGCCAAGTGAGCCGCACTTTTCACAAGCGTCGTTTCCTACTACATTAATACGGAAAGGTGCGTGGCCAAATTTCATTCGTGTGATTGTGGTTTGAAATCCTCAGGTTCTCATGCCAGTATCTTTTCGGTAAATTAGGTTGCAACTTGCAACAGAGTGTATCACGAAGAGTGTTTGTTACAATAGTTACTCCAAAAGAGAATTAGTTGTGTGCGCTTTAAAGATATACTATGCGATCAAAAATGATTGTCGCCTTTGGAATTTTTGTGTACATGGGAAATCGCATTTAAGGGCCGATTACCACTGAGTACCACTCAGTTGATTGGATATATATTTGCTACATAGGAAGTACGAAATCGTACTATCGCTTATTTATGTCCCGTACATCAATATCCACTGTACTGGCTATCGAGATTTGGAAGGTAGCCAGTACTAGTGTAATCCTAATGGTATCAGAAAACTGATTTTACATGTAATCAATCCTTAAGCAGTACTAAATGGTACTGCTGTTTGTTTATATCCTGGTTATAAATTTATCGAGTACTGGCTAGCGGAATTTGGACAGTAGCCAGTACAAGGCAACTCTTAAAGGTACCAAGAAACTGATTGTGTATGTATTCAGTACCCAAGAAGTACTAAATGGTACCGTTGTATATTAATGTGCGGGTTATCGATATTCAGTGTACTGGCTAGCTTCCAAATCCCGCCAGCCAGTACATAAAAATATCGGCGTTCTTCATAGGTACTAAATTTTTGCTGTCGTTTTAAGATAGTACTCAAACGGTACTACAGAGTACTGATGTACTGGCACGTACTGGCTATCGTGTACTGGCTACCTTTACGCACGCGGTATCTGGGGCTATCTAAGATTTTAGAATCAGGCAATGTGAAGAAAAAATGAGTGGAAGAAGAGAAATCAAAGTCATCGCCAAATATGTCCCCTCAGTAACCCGATGTTTAATGAAAACGGAGTGACGGCGTCATATGTCGTTCATCAGTTATTGAGGGCGGATCGTGTTATTTACATTTGGCAAGTTTACTGGCGGAAAGTAAGTACTTTCTGCTAGTAAACTTGCTACCGAATTTCGCTATATTTTTTATAGATGACTAATCTAAGTGATTATTTTGTTTATTTAAAGAGCATATATCAATACACATCCTGCAATTTTAGAAAATCAAACGGTTTTGAGAATGTTCACTAGTCGATATCGGATAAATTACTTATAGTATTTTACCCAAAATCGGCATGAAACCTTCATTTCCATGCCTACTTTAGGTCAGGAAATTTTGGTTTTGATGACAGAGGCAGACCCTTAGACAATATAGTACATGGACTGCTAATTGTAACTAAAATATGGTCAAGAACATTGCCTGGGTATGTGCGTTTCAGAGTAACCGAGTCGGTCCGATGAGGCACGATTTGAGGCTGTCAACATATAAATTAACAAACGTCAATTAAATAATTGCCCAGGTATGGCAAAAAAAAGCAAACCTATTCTTATTTGTGGACGTGTAGAAGATAATCAAGAGTATTTAGAGCTTCCCGTACTACGCGGTTACCATAAAAGCTACTCTTTACGGGACCCGAGTGATGTTCATACGACTTTAGTTTACCCTGAGATTCAGATACCCACGACTACAGTGCCCTCTATCTGTGACCACCCATTTTGTATTGAAAGCATACGGCTAATAGCAATCCATGTACTATATGGTCTAAGGGCAGACCAGACTACTTTTCCTGCCGCCTGTCACTTTTACCGGCCGCACCTGTCACATTTCCGGCCATATCTGTCACATTGCTCAATGTAAATAATGACTCCTGTCAACACTTTCAGATTGACATTAATCAAAAGTTTTATATGGAAATTGAAATTTTATATTAAAATACGATTTCAGGTAAAATGTAATACAAAACATGTCAATAAAATGGCACTACTTGACTCAGATATTAAAGTGCTCGGTCCCGAATGGGCCTCGTACTACAATATTTCCTTGTCAGTTATGTGTAATTTTCCTGGATTTTATGTAAAAATCTCTTACGTTATTAGCCAGGTAAGTGAGTTTTTATTGGCGGTAGGAGCAGTTAACTGGTGAGCCGATACAGTAGTGGACAGTGTATTGAAGATGGGTTGGGTACATAGGTATAGTGATGGTTTTTGGAAAATTATCAATTGTGTTTCTGCCAACATGATAAATAACACATTTTCCATAATTTACAAACTAACAATCATGTTTTGGAATTGTTGGTTGCAAATTTACGGTGTTGCCGGATCTTTTTGACAAAAACCTCCTGGCAACACTATAACTTTTGACAGAGATTTCAGATCGACTAATAAGTAGCGTGTTTGAAGTGAACGCTTGCTGAATTTTACATTCTTCAAAAAAAGTTAAAATAAATAAATAAAGTGAAAACTAATGAAATAATTTCAGCTGTTGAGGCACTTACCAATCCCAAGAGTGCATATGAAGAGCATTGAAGATATCCCACTCGTACAATCCAGTGTTGAGAGATCTCCAACATATTGTGTCTTGATTTACCTACATCTGTTTTCGTAAAAAAGTTCGTTAATCAAAAACTGTTGCCTGCCTATAAGCCACTTCGATTGGAATGATAAGCATTCTTCAAGTGATTATTCACGTGGATGAAATCCAAACGTTTCGCATAATTTTTATTGATACACTATATTTGCAATCGCTATACTAACGTCCATTGCAGATTGTGTATCAATGAAAATTATGCGAAACAGCAGCAGAAATGAATTGTGGCGACTTATACAGGGTTGCTAAGATACGCTGGATTAGTTTATATTACTGTGATGATGTGATGAATATGCTAATTATTTAATTTTATATGGAACAACACTTTTAGAAGCTGTTTCAGTCATAACATAAAATCTTTAACCTAATCTTCTGTTGTGAACAATCTAAATGCCAATTAATGTTACGCCACTGTGTGGTTATCAGTGAGTACGGAAGGGGGCGTTTGAATAGCCAGCAAAATAGATCAGAAAAAGCACGTTTTATTTTTTATGTAAAAATACAGTTTTCCGTTTACTTTAATAAATTACGATATAATAATACTGTTGTTATACTTGAAAAAGGCCAACTCTGCCACAGGTTATGGGCCCAGACCAAACTGGTGTATAAAACTGTTACAGAGGGAATATACGTTGTAAAACGGCAAGGGTAGTAAAAAGTAAAATGGAGCAACAGGTGGTGACCCAATTTATTAAGCTAAATGAGAATAACTGGAACGTGTGGAAGTTTCAAATCAAAGTAATACTTACGGCCAAGGAACTCTATGATATAACTGTGGGAATTGTAAAACAACCTGATGGAGAACACACAGGGAAGGAAGTGAAAGAGTTCAAAGTGAAGGATGCGAAGGCACAGGAAGTGTTAGTAACACGCATGGAGTCAGGTCCTCTCTTTCATATATTAATGTGTGAATCGGCACATGAAATGTGGACAAAACTGGAGTCGATATATGAAAGACAGTCGAATGTTAGTGTACACTTACTGCAGCAGAAGTTTTTTAATATGAAGTTTGAAGGCAGTGTAATGGATTTCATAACTAAGATACAAAATCTGGTTGCGCAAATTAAACAACAAAAGGAAAATATACCAGAAAATATGGTTATCACAAAAATACTAATGTCCTTGCCTGAACAATATAAACATTTCGTTTCCGCGTGGGAGTCGGTTCCGGAAGACAAGCGTAATTTAACAAACTTAAGTGCAAGATTATTGGTAGAAGAAGAACGTTTGGGTTCGGGTGAAGAGACAGTTGCACAACAATCACAAGTGAAGTGCTTCTCTTGTGGTAAAGCCGGGCATAAAAAGGACGAATGCAGAAGTGGTGGACGGTTTAAAAATAAAAATGTCGAGTGTAACTTCTGTAAGAAAAAGGGGCACATGTTTAAAGATTGCTGGTTCCGAAAATCGAAACAGAAAACAAAGGAGGAGAGCAGTGGCAGTGGTGAAGGAGGTTGGGCATTCGGTTGGAGTTACTGAATTGCAGTTGGATACTGAATGGTATTTGGACAGTGGGGCATCTGAGCATATGTGTAATGATCGAAAGATGTACAACACGTACGACAACCTAAGTGAACCAAGAGCAGTAAAAATTGGCGACGGATCAACAATTATGGCAGTCGGGATTGGTAAAATTCTTATTCAATCATATAATGGTGAGCATTTCATCGAGATGGAAATACATAATGTGTTACATGTGCCAAGTTTGAAAATTAACCTGTTTTCACAAGGAAGGCATTGGACAAAGGGTTTCGAATGGAGTCAGATGCTACGAGTGCAAAATTGGTCCATGAAAAAAGTAACCGTGTGTGTGCAGTTGCGAGGCGAACAAACAAACTTTTTAGAATGCTCTTTCGGATGAGCAAAAAGGAATTGGAGCATGATGCAGAACCGCAAGTTCAGGATAACTGCCTAGTTGCAGGCAGCAATGGGATCGGGCAAGGCAACAATAAAATCTCTCTTATGCAATGGCACGTCCTCTTGGCACACCAACATGTGAAGCACATAAAATGTATTCTGAAACAACATGGCATCAAGTGGGATAGCATTAATGATAATGTACAGTGTGAAGGGTGCATACAAGGGAAACATCACCGTAATCCTTTCCACATAAGCGATTCAAAATCGACAGCAATTTGCGACCTGATACATGCAGACATTTGTGGTCCTATGGAAGCTGATTCTATTGGTGGTACGAGGTATATGCTGTTATTAAAAGATGATTACTCGCACTACAGGTATGTCTACTTTCTTAAAAATAAGAGTGAAGTCTACGACAAACTCGTAACATTCACGGCACTTTGCAAAACACAAATGGGCAAAAATATAAAATCCTTAAGAACAGATAATGGCAAAGAGTTCGTAAATTTTAGGGTCAACAAACTCCTAATGGAACATGGAATCCAACACCAAACGAGCGTGGCCTACAATCCTGAGCAGAATGGAAGGATCGAACGTGAAATGAGAACTATCATTGAGGCAGCGAGGGCTATGCTTTTCTCAAGTAACTTGGAGAAAAGGTTTTGGGCGGAGGCGGCGAACACGGCCGTCTTCATAATTAACAGAACGGGAACTAGTTCAGTAGATGGGAAAACCCCTTATCAACTGTGGAACACAGGTAAAGGTGACATTAATTTGAAGATGTTTAAGTTTCCTTTTGGGAGCAAAGTGTGGATACATATCCCGAAGGAAAAACGACAAAAATTAGATGCGAAAAGCAAAAAGGGGATATTTGTTGGATATGGAGAAACAACGAAAGGAGTGCGAGTCTATTTCCCGGACAGAAACATTGTAACATTAGAACGTGATGTAATCCTGTCGCAAGATATTGTGGAAGAAGTAAACCCAAATGGAGAGTTACAAGTTGGCATAAACGATATGAACAATGAGCAAGTGACAGATGGAATTGAGGATATTACAGCCGAAGATTATGATACGCCGAGTGATACACACAGCAGCGATCGAGGCAGCGATACTTTACCCAGAGAGGAAAGGCGCCTTCGTTCAAGGGAGCAGTTACACCGCCCTTCGTGGTATGATGATTACGAAACAAGTTTTGTTAGTATAACAGACGTTGATGAACCAAATTCTTATGAAGAGGCACTTCAGTCAAATTTAAGAAGGCACTGGGAAAAGGCGATGGAAACTGAAAAGACATCCTTAATAGAAAATGACACCTGGGAAGTGATTGACGAACCAGAAGATTGTGATATCATTGACAGCAAGTGGGTGTTTAAGGTCAAACGTGATAGTGAAGGTAAAATAATGTGTTATAAAGCTAGGCTAGTTGCACGAGGTTTTAAACAAAAAGGTGTGGTGTGTGAAGAAATATACTCACCGACAGCTAAATTAAGTACTTTTCGAACACTGTTAGCTATAAGTGTAAATTTAAATTGGAACGTTTTTCAAATGGACGTATGTAGTGCATTTTTGCATGGTGAGCTGAAAGAGAATGTTTTAATGTGTTTACCTCCTAATTTTAATATTGACAAAGGAAAGGTATGTAAACTTAGGAAGGCAATTTATGGGCTAAAAGGTGCACCGAGGTACTGGTATGAAAAATTTCACAAATTTATGTTATCACAAAATTATGCAAGATCAAAGTATGATTATTGTTTATATTTCAACATTTCAGAGTCTTCAAAAACATATGTACTAATTTATGTTGATGATCTAATAATCACAGGCTCGTGCAATACAAAAATTAAATTTCTTAAAGAGGCCATGATGAAAAACTTTAAAATGAAAGATTTGGGGCCAATTACCTATTACTTAGGGATTACAATAAATCAAAATGTAGGAAATAATACCCTGACCCTAAGTCAAAAGGGCTATTTGGAAAATATTTTAAGGAAATTTGAAATGACTGATTGTAAAAGTGTTTCAACACCATTAGATAGTAATTTTGATCACAATTTCTTGTTTAGGGAAAGTTCTGAAAATAAGGACGTTGAAAATAAGTGCAGAAAGTTAATCGGTTGTATAATGTATGCAATGCTTGGTACGAGACCTGATCTTTGTGCATCCATAAGCATTCTCAGTAGGTATCAGTGTTGTGCTAGTAATGATTTGCTTAACTGCTTAAAGAGGGTGCTGCGATACATTAAAGGTACTATAGATATTAAATTGACGTACAGTAAGAATTTAGATTGTGAAATGGTCAAAGGCTTTGTCGATTCTGACTGGGCCAATGACACTGTTGATCGTAAGTCCACTAGTGGACATTGCTTCAAAATATTTAATTGTACAGTTTCGTGGAGTACCAGAAAACAATCTGTCGTCTACAGAGGCTGAGTATGTTGCTTTGAGTCAATGTGTTACTGAAGCGTGTTGGTATCGGAATTTGTTGGATGAATTAAGCATTGCCGATAACAAGCGTTTAACTGTGATTATATTTGAGGATAACCAATCTGCTATAAAGGTCGGTAATTCTTGTGAACAACCGAAACGTTTGAAACACATAGATGTAAAATATCATTTTGTACAGGAGAAAGTGAAAGAGGGAGTCGTTAAAATAGTATACTTACCTTCAAATGAGCAAATTGCTGATACATTAACGAAACCTTTGAGTAAGATTTTGTTTGAGAAATTAAGGGAGGTACTTGTAGGTAGAATAGAATAATATAGGTTTGTTTTGTGTTATGTTGAATTCTGCATTAAGATTGAGAGGGGGTGTTGTGAACAATCTAAATGCCAATTAATGTTACGCCACTGTGTGGTTATCAGTGAGTACGGAAGGGGGCGTTTGAATAGCCAGCAAAATAGATCAGAAAAAGCACGTTTTATTTTTTATGTAAAAATACAGTTTTCCGTTTACTTTAATAAATTACGATATAATAATACTGTTGTTATGCTTGAAAAAGGCCAACTCTGCCACATCTTCACCTTCAATAACATCAAAGCTACCCTTGCAGGCTTACACCCTGTCTGTGAGTGTAACACACCCTGTGTTAGTATTTAAATACACGTATAAATAGATGTGCATTTTGTAACCTTATTGTTGAAGCCGAAGATGATGAAAAATAAAATGGCAAACAATCTAAAAATAAGCGTCTTATCGATACTTGAAGAATAATCTCCTCTTGCACTATCTACTGCAGTTGCTTTTGAAATATCAAATCTGTACAAAATTGAAAGTACCTTATTTACCAGGTAGGTATATCGATTTGCATTCAGTGATAAATTAAGCCTTCTTATCGCTTCTTATCTAGGTGTTAATATATAAATTTTGATAAATAAATCTCTGAAGTGGACGGGACAAGTATAAGCTTAAAAATTGGTAAATTTTTAATTATTTTCAACGGTATCGTTTGGAAGTTTGGAGTTCCAATAATCAATTTTGAAAAAATACTCGACCAACTTCATGCCATTTACATTTACGACAAAAGGTGCAATAATTTAGCACGTCCCTTTTCAACATAACCACGAAATCTGATCCGAACATTAGAGCGCCGCCGAAAGGGCACGAGACATCAGAGCGAGTGGATAGAAGGGCGCGGGATATAATATTCTCTAAAAAATATACTGTAGTTGTTTGTGTTGATATTTTATATCAACAGTCATTACCAAAAACATAATTCGCAATGCCAAAAGTTCGGTCAAATTTTGCAGATTGATTCTTGATCACATTTGTAAAGTTCGTGAATTGGCAATGTCGGTCAAAATATAAGCATCTTCCTTATAATCGAATTGCACGGGTTTTAAAACATGCATAGTCGACACCATATGATAGGCAATGCCAAAATTTGGCTTTTTAATAGATTCAAAATTCGCAATGCCGTCAAACTTTCTTCATGAACAAAATGATCTTATAAATATTGCGGGCTATTTATGTGAATAAGAGACCTTTAATATTTTTGATTTCATTCCGCCAATACCTCTAGAGGAGCTATTCGATGTTATTGAAATGCTGGAATGTAATTCCCAGTTCAAGGTCAAGTCCAAGTTACGAGGGATCGTTTTTATACTCCCGGACTAGGCATGAAAACAAAAGATTAGAGCAACATTTTATTACCATTCTTCCTGTTTTTGAATACAGTTATAACACCATTTCTATATCATCTTTAATCCAATATACAAATATTTATCTGGTTTTACCGCAAAATAGCCCTCAACCGCTGCTATAAGTTCGTCATTGTCACTAAATGTTGTCCCCTGTTTTTTTGAAATTCGGGAACAAACTGGATGCTATATCTGGACTATAAGGCGCATGTTCAACTTCTTTGAAGCTATAGCAGCTTTTTAAAGTCTGGACTTCTGCAGTGGTGCATTGTTGTGGAGCAACAAGACACCTTGCGCCAGTTTTCCGCGTCTCTTCAGTCTTCACTTTAATCGTATTTCTAAGGCTATAATGCATCAGGTTTGCATAACACTCTCCCGTTACCAAATTTCTCTTATTCATATAATCAATTAGCAAAATATTCAGAATATAAAAACGACACCTCGTAACACAATTTACACAGACTTCGGTATCAGTTAAG